TGTGTAAGAGGGCGATGCTGGCTGGTAGCACGGGCTGGGTTCAGCTGACCAGAGACCTCTCTATTTAAGAGCAGGGTCACCTGCAGCATCCCCAAAGAGCGGCTCAGGGTGCGGGGCGCAGGCTGGGTCTGGAATTGGTGTAGCGGCTGTGCCAGACCTACGTTTCCATTCAATGCAGCATCCCTTGTGCAAAGCTTGGACACGAGACCTCCATCCAGCAAGGACCAGGAGGACTGGGCTCATGGCAGCGTTGTAAGCTGCTGGTGGAGCTTTGATGCGAGCATTGCTTTTCTCTCGGGCATGGTGAGGTGTGGGGCAGGAAAGGGTAAGGCTGAAACTCCGCAGCAGAGAGCGACTTGGTCTTCCCAAGGCTTGCGGGTCAGCTCGGGTCGTTAGCCGCGTTAACGAAGGAAGCGGGTGGAGGAGCGTGGTGCGGAGGGGCTGGGGTAGAGCCGCCTCTCCTCTCACCCGCAGATCAGGTGGAGCTGAGGGCCTGCCGAGCTGACAGCAACACGCAGTGCGCCTGCAGGAACGGCACCTTCTGCTCCCCGGACCACCCCTGTGAGATGTGCCAGAAGTGCCGGCCCCGGTGAGCTGGGTGAGGCGGCGGGGCCCGCCGGGATCTGCGCTGGGAGCCCCAGCCGCTCAGCCTGCCCCGTCTCCCCCTTTCCCAGGTGCCCCAAGGGTGAAGTGGAGCTGGCTCCCTGCACGGCGCACAGCGACCGCCAGTGTGGTCCTCCCACCGGCACCTTCTCCAGCTCCTCTAGTAAGTGGGGGGCTGCTGGAGGAGGGGAGGCGAGCTGAGGGACGGAGGTGTGAGCTGCTGCCGAGGAGACGAGGAGCAGCTCCCCACACGCCCCGTTCTATCCGCTTTAGACACCTTGATCGTGGTCATCGTAGTGGTGGTATTTGCGGTCCTGCTGCTCTTCATCTGGAAGTGCTGCTGCTGCCATTCCCCAGGTGAGCACTGGGTGCTGGGGACCCCTGGAGCGCTCGCCCCGAGCGAGGGCTCTGCGTGGGTGTGGGCTGGGTGGGAAGAGGTACCTGCCTGGGGGAAGAGGGATCCCAGCACTGTTTTTATCTTCCAGGAGACAGGAGAGACCTGAGCAGGAAGTCCTGCAGCGTGGTGGTGAGTTGCTGGGATGGCAGGGGGGTGGGTGGCTCTGTTTGTGGGGCTGGGGTGAGGTCCCCCCTCTGCTCCCCGCTTTGCCTGCAGCTCCTGGGAAAGCTGGAGGAGCAGGGGGATGAGTCTGGCCCCTGCAGGGATGTGGTGGAGCTGGGCCAAGCGGAGGAGGGTCTCCGGTAGTGCCCTGCTATATGTGGGGTGCTTGCAGCCCCCTCTCCGGTGCCGTTATCGCTTCCCTGGCAGAGGCGCCGGCACATCCAGGGTTCCTGGTGGGGCTGTGCTGTCCCAGGGCCCCTGCAAGCTCAAGACGAGCAAGCAAGCCATGCCCTCGAAACCATGGCAGGGTGGATGCCACCGCCGTAGATGGCATCCCTGAGGGGCCGGTGTGAGCCCTGCCCTCCCGGGACCACCCGACTCGGCTGGGTTTTGCTTCTTTC